CCTTCACCCCCTGCCAAGTTGTTATACACACTCAAAACCGTAAGTTTTGCATTCAGTCCTGGGATTCTTTGAGGCTTTGGCACAAACACCCCGGGCCTAAATGGAGACCCTTTGGGGCCTTGGAACATCCTCTCTGCTGGTTTGTTCTCCTTGTCTCCCCTCCTTACCAGATTGGCCTCGAAGTGGGCCTGCAGTGAACTTTGCAAAATTACATCTGACTATGTCACTCCCCCGATTAAAAACCCTGCCATATCTTCACCTGTTTTAAAAGATTTTATTTATTTAGCCCTGGCTGGTGTGGCTCAGTGGATTGGGCACAGGTTGTGAACCAAAGGGTCACTGGTTTGATTCTCAATCAGGGCACATGCCTGGGTTGTGGCCAGGTCCCCAGTGGGGGGGGCACATGAGAGGCAACCACACATTGATGTTTCTCTCCATCTCTTTCTCCCTCCCTTCTCCTCTCTCTAAAAATAAATAAGTAATATTAAAAAATATTTATTTATTTTTAGAGAGAGGAAAAGGGCTGGGAGAAAGAGAGAAAAACATTCATGTGTGAGGCATGCGCCCTGACTGGGAATCCATCAGGTGACTTTTTGACCCTCTAGCTTGCAGGCCAATGCTCAGACTACCGAGCCACACTAGCCTATGCCAGTTTCTGTAAAATGAAAACTCCTTAGTTGGCATTCAAACCCTTTGCCTAGTGTGGTTTCAGCCTTGTGCCTCTGAAATGCTGTTTTCTTTAAGTGAATGCTCCCTCCCACACACACTATTTGATTAACCTCTCCAGTCAAAACACCTGGAGCATTACCGCCTCCCAGAAGCCTTCCCTGAACCTCATCTTGGGTTAGAATCCCCTTCATCTGAGCACTTAACCATCAAGAGTTCCTTGAGGATACTTAGTCACTCAACAGCATTACCCAGTGAGTGCTGGTTACTGGAGGTAGAAGGATGAGTAAGACAAAGTCTGTCCTCAGTTTCTACGCAGAAGAGTGACACTGAAGAAGTCATTTCAAGTGTGGTAAGGACTATGCAGGAGGCATAGATGCAGGAGAGAATCCTACATGATCCAAAGGCCTCTCCAAAGAAGCGGTAAAGAGTGACTTGGAATAAGCAAGAAAGGAGGAGGGGGATGGGATGGGAGGCGGAGTGTTCTAAGCAGAATGAAGAGTATGCACCAAGGCCCTGGGGATTCAAGAACTGAAGTTCTAGTGAGGCTGAAGGCAAATAGTGAAGTGCACAGTAATGAGTAAGACAGCTTTTTCCTAATTCAACTTCAACTTCCCAGTCCTGAAAGGGGCCTGGCACACAATAGGCCTCACTAAATATATCAGTGAAATGTCCTTGGACCATGATGTCCTTGCTCCTCACAAGACATTATGATCTCACAAAGTGCTACTTCCTTGTCAATCTGGCAAATTTCCACTCACCTCCCAAGGACCTGTGTGTTTATCTCCTCAGTGAGGCCTGTACCCAATATCCACTCCCTTCAAGGGAGTTTTTCACTTTCCGCACTAGTTTGCCAGAATACCTACGGTTTCCTTTGCATGTATATAGAAAAGTTATTTATAAATACATGCATTCTTTTAAGATTTTATTTATTTTTAGAGAGAAGGGAAGGGAGGGAGAAAGGAAGAAAAACATTGATGTGTGAGAGATACATGGATCAGCTGTCTCTTATACAGCCCAACTGGGGACCTGGCCTGCAACCCAGGCATGTGCCCTGACTAGGAGTTGAACCTGCAACCTTTCGGCACTTAGTCTGGCAAAGACTAAGTCCCAGTCTGGCACTTAGTCCATTGAGCCACACCAGCCAGGGCTCATCCATTTTTTACCACAGTCTTCTTTACTAGACTCTAAGATTATCAAAAACAGGAACTATCTCTAATTCTAGGTAGATATTTGTACATGTTTGTAAAACAAATGCATGGAGTCATTGTCCTCCTTTTCAAAAAATCTGCTTCCAAGTCCTTCCACAGTGGAATACTCTTCCTGCTCCCAGCCGGGTGTCCTCACTCACTCTAATCAGGCCAAGCAAGCCTTGCCTTTTGTTAGAGGTGGGGTTCCAGCCAGAACTTGGTCCCCACCTACCTCTCTTCCACCTCACACACTACATCCCCGCCCCCCCCACACACAAGCCTTCTTTCTTTTTCTCAAATATGCCAAGCTTCTTCTTACCTTAAGGCCTCTGTAGTTCTGTTTAGAACTACACACGTCCTCTGGAGTTACAAGTGGCTAATGTTTTCTCATCATTGAAAGCATCTCAAATATCATTTCCTCAGAGATGCAGCCCCTGCCCACATTAAAGGAGCCCCCAATCAAACCACTCCCTAGTAGTGCATCATCTTGCTCTATTTCCTTCTTGCACCTATCAGTATCTGAAATTATCTTTATTGTTTACATTTTTGGATGTTTTTCATCCTCACCTGAGGAAATGTTTATTGATTTTAAAGAGAAAGGAAGGGAGAGAAACATCAGTGGAAACATCGATGGGCTGCCTCCCATTCCCAGCCTGACTGGGGACCAAACCTGCCGCAACAGCAACCTTTTCAGTGTGGGGTCCATGCTCCATCACACTGAGCCATATGGCCAGGGCTACAGTCGACATTTTTTATACCCTTAGAATGGCCATAATAGTCAAGGTTTTTGTCTGTTTTATTCACTACTGCATCTCCAGTACCTAGAATGGGGCCAGGCACTTAGTAGGGCTCAATAAATACTTGATGAAAGAATGAACGCAATCAAAGTGGCTTTGGGGATCCTGAGTGTTGAGTATCCTGGCACTGGCCACCTCTCGCCAGCTCTGGGGAAGAACACAAGTTTGTCCACATTTAATCCCAACATTCAAATTATGTCCCAGACTCTGAGGACTGAGGCTTGGATTTGAGTCCCAGCTCTGCTACCAAAATCCCACAGGTAACCTCATTTGTGAGAGAGAGCTTAATGCAATAGAGAGAACGCCAGCCTTGGAATCTGTTACAGCTATATGACTTAGAACAAATGACTTAAAGTCTGTCTCCAAGCTTTAGTTTCCTCAATTGTCAAAGGGAGATACTATTACTGATCCCCACAGAGGAGTTGTAGAGAGGCAAGGTAGGGATTTTAAGCATTTACTGAATGTTATTTCTCTTTTCTTTCATCATATGATTCTTAGCTATCCCATTCATAAAATGGGAGAATTAGATTTTTTTTCCAAGGGAAATGGGAAATACAGTTTTTACATGAAATATCCCAATTTGGGAATGTTGGAAATAAAAATGTGTAAAGCACCTTTTTTTTTTAAGCTGTTTTTTAAATGTAAAAACATCCTGAGGGGCAAATAAGATACTTCCGTGGTCTGGATTTGGACTGTGAGCTACCGATTTTCCACTCAGGCTACTGGATTGTCAGGGATAGTTTACTTCCCAGAACTATTAGCCCCATCTTTGTAAAATGGACCCACCTTTGTGCATAGGAAAAGAAATCAACAAATACAGATACAGAGAACAGAGGGGAAAGGAGTTGGCGGAGGAGGATGAGGGTAAAGGTGGTCAAATGCATGGTGTCCAAAGATAACTAGACTTTGGGTCGTGATATTTTATCCCAATACATTTATTTTTTGAACATTTTATTTATTTTTAGATATTTTAAATCACAAAGTTTAAATTATAGTCGATAAAAACATTGCTATCCGTTGTTGATTTTGCGAAGACACAGCACAGGATTGGGACCAGATCAGAGTCCCCCTTGAATTCTGTGATGTGTTCCTCTAGTCCTCCGACCTACCGTGAAAAGGAGGCAGGGGTGAACTGAGCATCTGTAATGTGCAGCCACTGTGCTGCCGTGAGCCGCGTTGTACAGTAGCATGCTTCAAATTTTGTATCATGACCTCCACTTTCCAGAAAAGGAAATTGAGACTAATGTCGACAGATCAGAGCGATGTTTACTTATTTTTAGAGATAGGGGAAGGGAGGGAGAAAGGGAAAGAAACATCAATCAGCTGTCTCTCGAAGGTTAACAACTGGGGACCCGGCCTTGCAACCCAGATATGTGTCCTGACTAGGAATCGAACCGGCAACCTCCTGGTTCTCAGCCACACCAGCCAGGGCCCAATATATTTAATTAAAAAAAAAACAAAAAACCTTAGGGTGGCCCCAACCAGCGTGGCTCAGTTGATTGAGCGTCATCCAGCAAAAACGGAAGGTCACCAATTCCATTCTGCTCAGAGTACATGCCTGTGTTAGGGCCTGTCCACGGTCCTGATGAGGCATATGCGAGAGGCAACCACACATCTATGTTCTCTCCCTCTCTCTAAAAATAAATAACTAAAATCTTTTTAAAAAAGACGTGAGGTGTGCGAAGCCCTTAGCACAACGCTGGCACATAGCAGGCCCAATACAAGACGGATCAGCGGTATCTTTTTGTGGCTGTTGATTTGGTAAGTATGTATTGAAGGAGCAAGATACCTCAGGGACCAGATGACCGGAAAAGCAACAGCCTTTTAGTAAAGAAGGAAAAAAGACAGCAAAAGAGGAAAGGGAAGAGGTGCGGAGGTAACAGGGTCTGCCTTCCAGGCGGGGCGCCACCTAGAAGCCTAGGCCAGGGCTGGAGTGCACGTGGCCTAGTTTGGGAGGAGCGGACGCGCCGGGCCGCAGACAACACCTCCAAGCTGGCCACGGGAGACAAGCCTTGAAGGTAGTAGATTCCAACTGGACTGCGAGGACCTTGAAAGACAGGGTGGAGCAGCATGGGGTCCTGTACGTTGAGGGGTTGAGGGGTTGAGGGACATAGGAAGGCGCTCAATCTGAGTTTCCCATCCTCCTGGGGCATTTCAGCTCAGACATCTGGGTCCTCTGGGTCCCTCCCCTTAGAGGGCGGGGTTAGGTCTTCTGACCAATGACCAGGCGCTCCCTAGGCTGTCCCGCCCCCAGAACAGGGTCTTACTGAATACTCTTACCGCCCCGAACCCTGGCCTGGGGCTGCGCCGCGGCCAGCGAGGAATTTGCGGTGAGTGCTCCGTCTCCTAGGTCTCCACCCCGATCCAGCCTCCAGCTGGTACCCTAGAGCTCTAGGCCGCTGACCGAGGGGCCAGGAGAGTGACTGAGCACAGGGAGGATGGCGACTTGCTGAGATTGGAGGTTTGAACTGCTCAGGGTCTTAAATGCTGGAATAAGTAGGGTGAAGGAGTGTCCTCAGAGCTGGTCCCGGGGAAATGCTGATGCCTAGGGCTGAGCTGGGGTGAGATGGGAGAGGGTCTGACCCAGAGACCAGGATCGGGCTAGAGAAACCGGGGCTGCACTGCCTCCAGGGCCAGGGCCACAATGTGGGAGGGTCCTGAGCTTCTGACTCAGCTGCCCTCCCCAGGACACCGAGATGCCTAGCGAACAACAGACGGAGGAGGAGGAAGAAGAGATGCAAGAGGAGATGGTGCTGCTGGTGAAGAGTGAGGAGGATGAGGGTGAGGAGAAGTATGAGGTGGTGAAACTCAAGATCCCCGTGGACAACAAGGAGGTACGTGTCCCACACTCTGGGGCCCCGTTTCCCCTAACCTGGTTCGGTCCCAGTCTCCATGCTACGGAAGCCAGGATTCTATTCCCACTTTTCCATGAATCTCAGGTTTAGGATCTGAGGGTTGGCAACCCATCCCTGTGCTGACCATGCGGATGTCAAACATGTCACACCTACAGTGCCAAGCTCTGTGCTGGATGATGGGAGTAAATGTGGTCTTTGGTTCCCCGTGGAGCCCGCTGTGTAGCAGGATAGACTGCTAAGTAACCACGCAGCTACAATTCTGTGTGATGAGTGCAGGCACCAGCGTGGATGCTGGGAGCTTAATGCCGACTTGAGTGGGGGCAGGGCCAGGTTAGGTAACAGTGACTTCTGACTCTTAGTAGCTGTTTACTATTCTTCAGACACTATTTTAAGCATTTTATTTCAATAACATAGGTAGTATTTGTTCCATTTTACAAGTGAGAAAACTGAGGCCCAGGATACTGGACAATTTGGTGACTGGCCCAAGGTCTCAAAGTTAATAAAGAGATGGCTTATGTGAGACCAGGGAGAGTGAGGGGTGAAGTGGGTGCCTACTCCAAACAAAAGAAACAGGACTTTCAGTGGCTCAGAGGGAGTGAGTGAGGAGATGATGGGAGAGTGCAGGTAGTTCAGCCATGCTGTAGCATGGATGAGTTTAGGGTGTTCGCCGATCAGGTAGGATATTTGGGTTTTATCCTGAGGGTGATGAAGGTTTAAATAGTGGGTTTTTAAAAACATTAAAAGAGAGGTGTTTTAATATCAGAATGAGTTAGATTTCCCCATTCAAGATCCTAACTGCCACCCTTGCCAATGTGGCTCAGTTGGTTGGAGTGTCGTCCATTGGACCAAAGGTTGTGGATTTGATTCCTGGCCATGGCACATACCCAGGTTGCCAGGTTCCATCCCTGGTGTGGACACATGCAAGAAGGCAGCGATCCATGTTTCTCTCTCTCTCTTCCTCTCCCTTACACTCTCTAAAAGCAGTGGGAAAAAATATTCCCCGGTGAAAAAAATAAAGGAGACCCGAACTCCCACTCACAGCCAGTACAACTCTGCTTATAGCTGGGGAACTCCAGCTGAGCCAGGTGTTTTGGGACCAGGCTCTTACTTCTTCCTGCACAGGAGCCAGATCTCTAAGACAGAAAGTTCTTCTGCCCCCTAGTGGGCCTGATGGACACAAGGCAGAGGTTGCTTGTAGCTTTGGCTTCTGCCAGTAAAACAGAACTACTTAATTCTGGTTTTCTTAGGCCTCATTGGCCCATCATTCTAGCTTAGTCTGACTTTTCTGATCCTGTGGATCTCCTGATCTCCCCCTTCCTCTTGTAAGAACTCGGACACCAGCCTTGACCCGTGCGGCTTGGTTGGGCCACACCCAACCAAGTTTAGTTTCTCAGTCCTTCTGAGAAACTACAGGTCAAGAGATCAAATACTGGTGAGGGCAACTCCTGGGTTGTGGATTCGGTTCCCTGGGTGGAGACAACCAATCGATGTTTCTTTCCATCTCTTTCCCCCTCCATCTCCCTCACTGTAAATCAATCAATGAGTCAATCAATCTTAAAAACTAAGAAAAACCTCAGACTCCAGAGCTTAGGGTGGACTTCCATCTTCATTACTTATCAGCTGTATGACCTTGGGCAAGATTCTTAACCTCTTTTTGCCTCACTTTCCTCGTTTATAAGAGCAAAACCATAACAGTTCATACTTCTTCGATTCGTGAGGATTAAATGAGTTAATACACATAGAGTTAGAACTGAGTGTAGCATAATAAACACTGTAAATATTTGCTGCTATTATCCATTCATCTCACAAAAGTTTAGGACTTGGGTCTAGGTCATCCTTCTGCTGGTTTTTCAACTCCTTTTTACCAAAGGCCTTTTAGGCTGAATCCTGGGGCTGGGGGTGAAAAGGGAAACCAACACAGAGGCCCAGACAGGATCGAGGGCAACCAACTCAAGGCACTGGGGCAGGCTTTACAGAGAAAGCTTAGTGCAGATTCCTCAAACAGAGGCAGAAGGAGGGGCATCCCGGGAGGAGGAAACAACTAAAGCAAAGGCTCAGAGGAGATGGGGCCCGAGAGTTAAAGGCATTGAAAGCCAGCATAGGAACTAACACGTTGTGTGAGATTGTGCCGTGTTATCTGAAGCCTCAAATCAGAAGAAAGACTTAGATTTTCTATTTAGAAGATGTATTGTCTGTTGTGGGAAGAACAGGTCATATAAGGCCGGTAGGCTGCCCTAAGGTAGTGACAGCAGTGGAGGCAAGACAGAAAGCAGGGGATATTTGGGCACCTTGACTGGACTGGCTGGAGCTAAGGATGGGAAGGTGGAGGGTCATGCGCTGTAAGTGGGGACACACTGTACATGGTACAGGGAGCAGTTAAAAGCATTGGTTCAAATTCTGACTACACCGTTGATCAGCTTTGCCTGTGCTTTCTCGTCTGTAAAATGAGATGATGAAAGTCAGATGTTTGAAAGCCAGTCTAAGTATCATCTGGGTGACTGTATTTGGAGGAAGAGGGTGGAAATGAGCAATGCTCACACACACCCCATAAACATTTAGCACTGCACTGTGCCCACAAGATAACTCAACTCGTGGTGTGGTCTCCCTGAATCCCAAAACATATGTGCATGACCCATGGACATGGACTGCCAGAGGGAGTGAGGTGGGGGGAGGGGAGCAAAGGGTGGGAAATTGGAACTGTAAACTGAATCCCAGTTTCTATGAAAATGGCGATCTTGAAAGCCTCTTCCAGTGCTGACATCCTATAACTCTTAGCTGTCACCCAGTCCTAAGGCCAGTCACTGTCCGGGACAGGCCTTAATTATGGTCCACGCAGGGGCTGAAGCATTCTCTCACTGCCTATCAAAAGCCAGTCTCTTTACTGAATACAGAGATTTCCTTAAAGGGCTCTCTGCCCATCCAATCCTCTCTTTCTGTCCCCACTCTCCCTCTCCTTAAACCTGTGGTTTTCTGTTCCCCTCAGGATAAAGTCCTGGCTCCTAAGCCTGGCATTCAAAATCTACACCATGGGACTCATGTACTGGCTTCATCACCCAACCCCCTTCCCTTGCCCCAGCTTCAAACGGCTGGAGAACTGTGGCTGAGCAGGGTTTCTGGGCCCAGGCTCAGACTTCGCACATGAGGTCTTTCAGCCTGTAAACCCCTCTTCACCTTTCCACCTGCTTCCTCCAGGAGTTTCTCCGCTCTCTTCTAGATAGTATCTTAATGTTAACGTGCTTAGAAATCACCTGGGAATCTCGTCAGAGTGAAGATTTTGACTCATCAGGCCTGGGGTGGGACATGAGATTCTAACAAGTGCCCAGTGATGCCAATAGGGCTGGTCTGTGGACCACACTTCCCGGAGCAAGGGGATGGAGGACAGGCGCCACGTTTTATACTTGGTGCTAAAAAGAAGCGGTGTTCTGAAAACGTCCAGCGGAGAGAGGTAAGGTGCACAGGTGACCTCTAACTTGTGAGACAGAATTGCATCATGGCTAAGAGAACAGCTGTTCTGACAGTGATGGACTTCCAGTTCAGACCCTGCTTCTGCCGTTGATTAGCTATAGGGCCGTGGGTGAGGGCTGCTTTACTTTTGAGCCTATTTCCTTATTTATAAAGTGGAGCTAATGATACCTAACCCAAAGGGTTGTGAGAGTTTAAAATGGAACGTGGGTGAAAAGCACTAGCATAGTCCCTGGCACATAGACTGCTCAATAAATGGTAGTTGTAATTGTTATTTTAAAGATTTTTAGTTATTTACTTGTAGAGAAGGGAAGGGAGGAAGAAGGAGAGGGAGAGAAACATCAGTGTGTGGTTGCCTCTCACATGGCCCCCATTGGGGACCTGGCCCACAACCCAGGCCTGTGCCCTGACTGGGAATCAAACTGGTAAGCCCTGGGTTTGCAGTCCGCACTCAATCCACTGAGCTACAGCAGCCAGGGCTGGTACCCTCTTGTTATAGTGCAGATACCTGTTATTCTCATTTTAAATCTAATAGTTGTAGAATTTAAGACATGTGAGGTCCTTTAATGACCACCTAGTCTGGTATTTGCCAGTCACCATGTAAATCACTCACCTGCTGGCCTCATTTACTTAATGCTTTTCTTCAGATAGATTCTCATTGTTTTCATTAAATCCACCTTCATACACACCATATTACTGATGGAATGGTAGGTTTCATGTGATCTATTGTGTTTCTAATATCTGTGAAAATGAGTACATAATGATTGTAATGAGATAAAAGTGTGCCTACAGAAGACTTAGAATCCTCTTGCATCCTGTGATGTGTGTATACCTCAGGTTCGGTCATTTTGATCTCACCTAGCCTCCCTCACCTTCCTTGGTTCATTGAGGCCTGGGAAGCTAGTGACTTGCCTGGGGTCTTAATGAGCTAGTCTCAGCCCCTCTTACCTTGATTTTCCCTGGGACACCCAAGGCCCCTCCTCTTGGAGCTGCAGATACCAAGAATGCTTGTGTGGAGAAGTTCTGCCTAAATCAGTGAACCCGGCATAAGGAAGCCCTCAGATTGGTCAAAGCCATCTTAAAGAAGGGTGCCAAAGAAAAAGGAGTCAGAAGAAACACAGATATAATAGGGAAAGTTCTCTCTGCAAGGGCTGAGGTGTTGAAATAAAACCAATAGGTGTCAAAACCCAGGCAAGACAGGAAAGTGTGACCTTGAATTCAGACTGTGCCAAATCTGCTATGGAGAGTTTCTCAATTTAAAGTATCAACTTGTGTTTTTACTTGAATCCCTCTTGGAGAGAAGCAGGGACTTGGCGTCTGTCTTCTGTCACATCTTGGCTGTTCAAGTGCAGGGAAGTGCAATGTAGCCCTACTACATGTTAAGGGTCCTGACCCTCACTGGCTACAGGAATTTAATCTCCTTCCATCTCAGTTTTCTTCCTTCCTTCCTTCCTTCCTTCCTTCCTTCCTTCCTTCCTTCCTTCCTTCCTTTCCACGGTTTTATTTATATATTCTTAGAGGGGAAGGCAGAGAGAAAGAGAGGCAGAGAAACATCGATGTGTGAGAGAAACACCCATCAGCTCCCTCTTGCACATGCTGCTCACAGGGACCAGGCTGGCAACCCTGGCATGTGCCCTGACTGGGAATTGAACCAGCAACTTTTTGCTTTGAGGCATGATGCCCAACCAACTGAACTACACCAGTCAGGGCACACCTCAGTTTTCTCAATTATCAAAGATAACACTCGACTCAAGGGGGTGATGGGAAGATTTAATACAATGTACATAAAATAGGATTGTTGAAGCTTTACACTAATGTTGGGATCACTGTTACCACTCTACGTATGGTTTAAAGTAGAGTTCCCTTTACTGGTCACTAATCTCCCAAACTGCCTTGTGTTCTAATTTGAGTTGGTTGCCAAAAAGTGACTGCCTTTTATGCAGGTTTCAAGACCTTGAATTTGCCCTCATTGCAATAAGAAAAATAATGTGCTAACTGCTCCTGAACTGTCACTTGGCCTCTGTTAACCTGCTTCCTTATCTATAAAATAATGTTATGCCCTGGCTGGTATGGCTCAGTGGATTGCATGCTGCCCTGCGAACTAAAGGGTTGCCCGTTCAATTCCCAATTAAGGCACATGCCTGGGTTGCGGGCGAGACCCCTATAGGAGGTGCTAGAGAGGTAACCACACATTGATATTTCTCTTTCTCCTTCCCTTCTCCTCTCTCTAAAAATAAGTAAGATCTTTAAAAAATAAAATAAAATAGTATTGTGATAACTACTCTGGGAAGAAGTTGATGTTGTCTTGTCCTTCATATGTGCTGAGTATTTATTCATTCATGAATTAATAATGTACATAATTGCTTGGCCAATACAAGATACTCAGCATGACTTTTGCAGGGATTAGCCTTCTCTCTTCTAAGGAGGGAGCAATATGCCCTCAATATTCATGTTCTTTCTACTGTTAACACAAACTACTAACATCATACAACATTAATACATTTTCCCTTCACTTGCCTTTAACAGAAGAGTTCTATCTTTTTCTGACTTTATCTCTAGAAGTCCAGACTTCATAAACCTGGCTCATTTTCAATTTAGGCCTCAGAATTGTATTTGGGTTTTACCCTTGCCTTCTTCACAGCTTAAAAAATGGTAGGTGCTGGATCTTCAAAAGTTATTAAAAGGCATGGATTTTCTCCTGGCCTGGCTCCTAAGAAACCATCCTGCTCCTACTCTTACTGCCCCAGGTTCTCTCAGCCCATTCCCTGAGTAATCTTATTCAGTTTCAAAGCTTTAAAAACCATATATGGGCTGATGGCTTCCCAATTAACATGTCTGGTCTAGGACTATCTCCTGAGTTCCAGATGTGTCAAGAATTGCAGATGTGATCTGAAGCAGGTCTCACCTGTCAACTTGTTCTTCCCCAGCCATCCTGCTAGTTGCCAAATTCAAATCCTTGGAGTAATTCTGACTCCTTTTTCTTTATGTGTCATGTCTAATCTATTTATCAAGTCTCTTTTCTCAAATGGCAAAAATGTATTCAGAAGCAGACCACTTCTCATCACCTTCACTTCTCACCTGTCACCTGGACCTGAGTCACTGTATTCTCTTGCCAGACACTGCAGTCCAGTAGCCTCCTGCCTCTGCCCTCTTGTCTTCTGCAACCCCAGCAACTTGATGGAGGCTTTTGAAATGAGTCTGATCTGGTCATGTCCCTACTCAAAACCTTCTAACATCTCCTCTAATGGTTCTGCATCTCATTCATATCGCAAGGGCTTAAGCTAAGAGATCCCCTCCAGGAGTACCCCATGGGTTACTCTCCCCCTCATGCATTCTGCCCTAGGCACTTTCTCTTGCTCTTCCTGGAACTTGCAAAACTCCTACCTCAGGGTCTGGCTGTTCCCTCTCTAGCCTGCTTTCTCACCTCCTTTACATCTTTGCTCATGTTACACCAGTAGTTTCTTAATCCCATTAAATTTGTAGCATCCCGGTAACACCAGCACTCCTTATCCATTCTTTCCAAAAGCAGGAATTAAAAAAATTTAATACTGAATCCCCAGTGCCTAGAAGAGTCTGGCACATTGTATGCCCTTAATAAGTGTTTGTTGCATTCATAAAGAATAGCCAGAATGACGCCGAACATTGTGACATGTGCGTTAATGCAGTATGTAATTTAATGCGTACTGCCATTCTGAGGCCGGCTCCCTTGCTTTCCTGTTTTACATATGGCAAACTCAATGATTACAGCTTCCAGACACCTAGGTCCCTGGCTCTCAGGCCTCACCTGTTCCCTCTCTCCCCGTAGGTCCCAAGTGAGGCGCCAGCGCCATCTGCCGATCCCGCACGCCCGCACGCGTGCCCAGACTGCGGCCGGGCATTTGCTCGCCGCTCCACGCTAGCGAAGCATTCGCGCACACATACGGGCGAGCGACCCTTCGCATGCACTGAGTGTGGCCGGGGATTCTCGCAGAAGTCGGCGCTGACCAAACACGGCCGCACGCATACCGGCGAGCGGCCCTACGAGTGCCCCGAGTGCGACAAGCGCTTCTCGGCTGCCTCCAATCTGCAGCAGCACCGAAGGCGCCACACTGGCGAGAAGCCTTATTTATGCACTCACTGTGGTCGCCGCTTCGCGCAGAGCTCCAACTACGCACAGCACCTACGCGTGCACACGGGCGAGAAGCCCTATGCCTGCCCAGACTGTGGACGCGCCTTTGGCGGCAGTTCGTGCCTGGCGCGCCACCGACGCACACACACAGGCGAGCGGCCTTACGCATGCGCTGACTGCGGTACGCGCTTTGCGCAGAGCTCGGCGCTGGCCAAGCACCGGCGTGTGCACACTGGAGAGAAGCCGCACCGTTGTGCGGTGTGTGGCCGCCGTTTTGGGCACCGCTCCAACCTGGCGGAGCATGCCCGCACACACACGGGCGAGCGGCCCTACCCGTGTGGCGAGTGTGGCCAGCGATTTCGCCTCAGTTCACACTTCATCCGCCACCGTCGTGCGCACATGCGGCGCCGTCTCTACATCTGCGCTGGCTGTGGGCGAGACTTCAAGCTACCCTCTGGAGCTACAGCCAGCACTGCCACGGAGCACTGCCCAGAGTGCAAAAGTAGCTGATCTCTTTATCTGGTTGCTGCGGGGTGCTAGTGTCCAGTACACCAGTGTTCCTGAACCAACTCTATGGGTGCAACCCTTACAGGCTCAATTAATGTGACGGTCTCCCCACCACCCTGGTCTGGGAGAGGGTGGAATGGAAGGCCTGGCTTTCCAGTACTGGGAGACATGCGGATCCCTGCAAACCATGCTCACATCCCCTTAAAAGTCCTCAGCCCATGCTAGTAAATGAAGTATATCCTCACCTGGCCCTGGCCTGTGATTGAGGTGGTTCGGGGGGAGGTGGGGTGGGGAGAAACCAAATTGCTGTCTTCCCCAGGCTAGGCAACTTAGAACCTAGCAGGGATATAAATCCAAAAGCATGCCTGGAACTGGTTTTGTGTGTGTGGAGTCATATCTGGAAGGGTCCATAAATATAGCACACTTGTGACCAAACAGGCCCTACATTCCACAGGGCTTTGGTGGACTGCCATTAACTTCAAGGAGCTCAGTGCGTAATAAAGAGACAATAATACTTTATAGCACTGTTCAGAGCTTTAAGTGCTTCATTATTATTAACTCAGCTCGTCTTCAGGCTCAACATCCCAAAGTTCAGCAAGTCTTATTGCCATTCCTTCAGATGAGTATCTGAGAGCCAGTGAAGGATAGATAGGGACAAGTAAATAGGTATCTGCAGTCTGTTGTCTCTGGAGTTTACGTGAGGAAAGTTTGTTGGTTAGGTCTTTAATGCGGTCCCCAACTTGAGAAGTTCTTTTCAGAGGTGATCATTTTAGGTGGTCAGTGGTCTTGAGGGTAAGAAACAGATGGGGATAGGGAACTGCACAGAGAGCCCTAGAAAATGCTTACCAGACTTAACAGCTTGTAGACCTTTACTGGTGGAAGGTAGGGACAAAAAGCAAGATTAGTGGGCAATAGACCACTGGGGATCTTAGAAGCCAGATGAAATGAGAGGGGAGATGAAGTGGACATACTAAGAAGCTACAATTTTGGGGATGAGGAGGATGGGGCTGACCTCATTTCTTAGCTTAGATGTTGACAGGTAGTGTCACTGGGATGGTCCAAGATGAGTAAGACAGAAATGGCAACAACTGTTTTATACCCAGTCCTGACATACTGAAGGTGAGGTAAATGTGAAGGGGTCAGGGAGATGACTGGAAATAAGTTTCAGATATCAGGTCTGGAGTGCATGACACCTCATTCAGAAGAGGGCAGCTAGGGAAAATCTGAACAGCCACAGGTAGAAAGATACCCAGAACAGTCACCTTTGGAAAATCAAGGGGAAAGTTTCACAGAAAACAGCATAGTCAGATTCTGCTCTGGTGCCTGCTGTTTGTAGGTTTGCATTAAGTGGGGAGCTGTTTCAGTGGAAGGGTAGGGATAAAAGCCAGCCTTGAATGTGTTAGGGTATCAATGGGAGAATAAGGAAGCAAAGTGGCTGGATGTAGACAATCCTTTTCAAGAGGCTTGGCTGTGAAGCCGGGGTAATTTTATTGGTTTTGTCTTGGGGAGGAGACTCAGTTTTTGTGCTGGTGGGAAGGCTAATGGAAAGGAAGAGAAGCTTCCTTTGATTGTATGGGGGGCACAGGAGATAACTGACCAAGGGGAGGGAATGAAAGGATAAGGCTCCTGCTCTCACTGGTAGGGAGAAGCAGGGTGGATTTGGGAACAGAAAGCTCAAGCAGTGCCAATCTGGATAGTTTTAGCTGCTAAGTAAGAGTCACTGGTTGAGAGGGATAAGGTCACTAGAGGAATGAGGCCATTAAAAGGGATGACTCCTCTCAATGATGGGGAAATAGGCCCATAAGGGCAGCAAGAGTAATTTAAAGGTCTTTTTCCCAGCATTACCCCACCCTATGAGGCAGGCAGGGGATGGGAGTCTGAAAAAGGAAGTGCTGTGCCTGAGGCCACACAACAGATAAATTACACACAGCTAACACTATCTTTAGGCGTAGATGTGGGATGGGAAACTGGCGATGGGAGGGCAAGAGGCCCAAGCCCAAGAGCAGTGGAAGCCCTGTTCTGTCCCACATCCGAGACTGACCCTGATTTGTGCTGGGTCCTGAGCCTCAATCCTGGGCCCAGGCCTACCTTGACTGGTGACGTTTCCTGCTGTGGGATCCCAGTGTTTTGAGTTGAAAGACACATAACTGCAAACTACCTAAGTACCTAGTATGTGCCAGGCACTGTCCTAAGTACTCTACCTACAATAACCGACTTAAACTTTACTGCCCTATCAGGGAAATACTATTATTTTCACTTGAGGTGAAGAAACTGATGAACATCATCCGCTGGTAAGTATCAAATACAATGTTTTTGAACCCTGATGTGCTGGCTCCAAAATCTGGGCTTTTACCACCAAGTACAGCCTCTAATCTTCTGTTAGAGGCTCCAAAGGGGAAACAAACTTGCAGGAGAGCCCACAGGGAACCTGCTAGAAATGAGATCTCTGCGTGGCAGGTGGGAGATGCAGCAGAGAAACGTGGGAGCTCAGATCAGAGCAGCCCTGCTGCCCCTCTGTAGTACCTGCTGAGACAGACCCTCCCCAACCCAGGAAGGATCCAGAAGTTGCTGGACAAAACTTTACTGAGAGAGAAGAGTGGCAAGAGGCTGTCTTCCAGAGGTTCTTGAGCCTCAAACCTCAGACATCGGGATGCCAGGCTGATGAGCTGTAAGGAAAGGGCCAGAATGAGGTTCCATGGCCAGGCCACCATCTGTTCCTCAGATGCCATGCTGAGTTGCAGACCGTGGGTCCATGGTTCTAGGCTGAGTTCTGGCGTGTGGATTGACAGGCAAGGTCTATAGTCCCCACAGTCTGGTCTTCAGAGGTGGCCCCGTGTGGCAAGTCCGTGTATTTGCGGGAGGAGCCACGGGACAGATGTGCCGGGTAGCGTCGCCGGTTGGTGTCCATCTTGGAGAGCACCGCTTGGGGCAGGTCCACATGGCAGCGGGCTGCTAATGCTACCAGGTAGATGAGGACATCGCTAAGCTCCTCCTGAAGGGCTGCCCGTTCCTTGGGGGGCCAGGATTGGGGGCCAGGCTCCTCATCAGGCTTCCACTGACTGGGGGTGGAACACAGACAGGCACAGACATGCGGGTGCTAACTTGGACAATGGGCTTCCCCTCTCAGGGCACCCCAGTCCTTGCAGCACTGAACTCCCACCTCCTACAAATCTTCAAGGGCAGCTCAACCTGTCTGGGCCCTGGGTGGAGCCAGGCCGGGAAAGAGACACCAGCATATGATTCACCCAGACCTCTGTGTCCTCACCTAAGCCAAACCAGAGTTGGCAAGAGACCATTTTACTCGTCAAGACCCGGTTCTACTCCTCATCAGGTCTAGAAACTGCTACCCCAGACTAAATCTCAGACCTGGACCACTGGGGAAGCCTGCTAACTCATCTTCTACTCTTGCCCAGTATCAGCTTTTAAAAGCACAAATTACATTTTGTCCTTCCTCTGCTGAATCTCCCCTAGCTGGGCTTGGAATAAAATCTAAACTCCTGACCATGCACGCCCTCCAGGTCCTGCATGAGCTGACTCCCTGCCTCTTCCAATGTCATGATTCACTACTTTCCCCAACTCCCCACCTACAAGTCACTATGACTTTTTCTGTCTTGCAAACAGGTCAAAACTGTCACAGGCCTTTGTGCTTCTTTGTCTTCAATGATCTTCCCCTGCTCCCCCCCAGAGCTTCCCCATGGCTGGCTCCTTCCTGTTGTCTTTCAGGTCTCCGCTCACATTTCTCCTCCTTAGAAAAGCTGTCTTCCTGTTTCCTTCCTTCCCACAACCTTGGGTTATTCTCCTTATAGAACTTATCACAGTTTCCGATATTTTAACATCAGTTTGCTTATCTGTTGTCCATCTTATTGCACTGTCAAGATGGGAATGATGTGTATCCCTTGGAAAGCCACATCTCTTCACCTTAGAAGATGAGTACACAGATGGTGCTCGTAAATCTGTATGAATGAATGGCCTGCCCTCACACACATCTCTGTGCCCTCATTTCTCCATCCCCACAGTGACTTCACTGGCTGAGACCTCACCATCTCTCCTATGTTCTACACTAGCCCCCTCACTGGTCTCACCCCACCCTAATTCTCCTGTCTTTCTTTCTTTCTTTTTATTTTAAGACTTTATTTATTGATTCAGAGAGAGGGGAAAGGAAGGAAAGAGAGAAAGAAACATCAACTTGTGGTTGCCTCTCACGTGACCCCTACTGTGGACTTGTCCCGCAATCTAGGTGTGTGCCCCAAATGGGAATGAACTGGGGACCCTTTGGTTCGCAGCCTGTGCTCAATCCACTGAGCTACAGTGGCCAGGGCCCTAATTCTGCCTAAAAAAATTTTTTTGTTATCCTCACTTAAGGATATGTTCATTGATGCAGAAAGAGATGGAGGGAGAGAGAGAAAGAAAAACATCAATCCGTTACTTCCTGTACATGCCCTGACAGGGAATTGAAGTGTTGGTTCACAGGAGCACACTCCAACCAACTGAGTAACCCCCCCTGAGCTTTCCCAGCCCTAATTCTTCTGGGGACCCAATGCACCCGACAGGTACAGTACTCTTTCTACCATTCAAATCGGTTCATGTCTTCTGTCCACTCCAGCAATTCTTACCCCAATTTTATAATTACCAGTTCTATTCCATCCCACTCCTCCAGAACCCTATCAAATATTCAGTTCATACTTACTGAATGTCTATTGTGTGCCAGGCACTAGACACCCATACAAACTCCCTTTCATCTCCTGCGCTGCGGTCCAATTGCTAACTGGTCTGTGGCCCATGTGTTGGGGTCCCCTGTTCTATAGAACACCTTCCATTCCACCCTAAAGGCATAGGGTGACAGAAGGTTGCCACCCACGCCTTCTTAGAGCTGAATGTGCCTCCCTGTTTTCTCTCCCAGTAAACTGGGTGCCCCTAGAGAGCAGGAACTCATCTCTGTATCACCAGCAGGAAGATCACATCCTTGCAGAGAGAAGGGGAAATTGGAAATATGCATATTTGGTGACCAAATAAATGTCCCCACCCCCACAACATAAAGACTCTTCCATGAAGCCTTTTATTTACTCACAAGAGCTCTGCCAACTCCCCGACTTCCCCCACCAAGGCCAGGAGGAGGTTCCGAGGCTTGTGGAACTGGTCCCAGTCTCTTTCAGCAGCAAACTCAGCATGGAGCCGGCGGCTGGTACAGAAAAAAGGGGTGTAAGCCCAGGTCACAGGGTCAGGGGTGGGGGAGGGCATGCAGGGTCCTGGGAGTGTCTCAGTGATACGTAATGGGGACATGGGTTTCCAGCGGGATTCTGAAACTAACACCTTAGATGGCCTTAAACAAGTCATCTCCTTTCTATGGGACTATAAAATAGCCAAACCCCTACACAGACCCTAAACTCCATGGAAACCTAACAATTACCTCTTCTCCACTCCAACTCCTGCTGCTGCTTCTGCAGTTTCCTCCACCAGACACACCCCTATCTCTGCATATCTATATCTTATGGTCTTACAGAAAACATGCAGACCAACCGGCATTGCCCCTAAGAAGCTCTTCCTTGGTTTCCTCCACCAAGAAACAAGGGCCTCTCAGGTCTCGCTGCAT